TATCGCATTAAAAATCATACACGCGATAAGAATTCAGCACGCGAAACGCACGTGCACGGCGAACGTTATCGCGACGTTTACAATTAAACAATACCGACGAATACAAAGGAACTTTGCAAAGGTACGTCGCGCGTCGCGCAACGACACGGATACAACGACGAGACTGGCGTGATCGAGAAGAAGAGCGTTACCTAGGAAAGAACGCGTCGAAAAGAATGGAAACACGTCCGTGGTCTATTCGTCGCTGTCGTTGCTCCGCTTCATCGCGAAATAGACGCTTCGAAGCTCCTTCAGATTGCTCTCCAACGTTGCAACCTCGTCGTACCTGCAATCCGCTCTGGCTTGCTCGACGTAGGCTCGAAGGTTGCTCATTTGCTGGATCACGGGGTCCGTGGAAGAAGGCATCGCAGGAGCAACGGTGGAAGGACCCCAACCCTGCGACCGATCCAGCACCACGTTCGGCTGTTGGAACAGAAGACGGACACGGTGCGTCAAGTGGAAAGAGAACAACGAGAAACAAAGAAGACGGAACGTTCGTTGGTTTCGTCGATCGGCAAGAGATTAGCGTCACCTGATTCTCTCTCGCAACGGGTCGAATCTCGAGATTGCAGGTGTCTCTTTTACCGCGTTGCTCTCTCGTTGCCGTTTCCCTCCGCCGTTCCTCCTCCAATCGTCTCTCGTACGCGATTCTAGCTTCGACGCGGGTTCGTCGTTCTCTTCGGAGTTGCGCGTATCTCTCTTCCGAAGGCAAAGCTCGCACGCTCGACAACTCTTCCTTCAAGAAGATCATCGCCGACGCTCTGACCATACGATGCAGTCGGAGTTGTCGATCCTGCGGGGGATTCTCCACGCATCTCGTCCCGAGTAGCGAGATTCTCTCGCTGATGGAATCTATGCTCTCGGCCAACTTTGCGATCTTGGTTCTCAAAGCTCGAGCGTCTTCCAAGCGGTAGGTGGATTCTCCCCGGCTGAAAAACAGGTTTGACTTGACTTAGGTCGGACGGTGAGCGAGCGAGCGAGCGAGCAGGTACCGAACGTACGCGCTTCGCGACAATCGGGTCACGTACTCGAAGGATCGCCACATTTCGTCGTACGTTTGGACGCGTTGCGAGGCTTCTTTCATGCACGCTCTCATCTCGTCGTAAAATCGACACACCGTCGGCTGGTCGAGACGCCTGGCTCTCCGTTTTTCCCTCGCGTCGAGGAGATTGGCGCAGTGGGTGCAAATTCTGAAACGTTGCTCGGTAGCCGTCGAGTCGTTGACCAAGGACAGCAGGCCGTTCAAACTACCGGTGGACGGCGATCTTGCCAATTTCGCAAGGCCGATACCAGCGCGTACGACGCGTTCCGAGATGGGCGGTGGTTGGTCGGACGTGGGAGATACCGCCGAATCGTCTCGGACGGACAGAGGGCTGGTCATTCTCTCTGGAAAGAAAGTGGAATGAATCGGCACTCGAGTCTCTCCGCGCACGGTACTTTGTCGGACGAAACTACCGACTCGCGTCTCGCAACGACAGAAAGACGGTACAGTCGCGACACATGACAGCTCCGCAAAGTCGACAGTGATGCTTTCTCCTGGCAACGTGGAAACTTTTCGCACAGATGGGACACAGTTTGACGTCTTTGTCGTCTATCCACGGTACGACGGCGCGCTCGTGCGCTGCGACAACGAGGAAAGGAGAGAAAAAGAAAGAAGGTCAGTCGGACGTCTCGTTCGCGACGAACGAACGAAGGAAGAAAAGGACGCGCGGCGTACCTTTTCTGTCGACCGGATCGGTCGGTAAATCGTTCAACAATTTGTCGAGCCTTATCAAGAGTTTGTTGGTTTGCGCAGAGTATCGCTCCAATCTGGCGTTCCTGGTCTGCCGGAAGTAGGCGGTGTGCGATCTGGTCGTACCTGAAAACGACGGACAGAGATGACGCGAGTAGGAACGTGGCGCGTGGAACGACACCGAGTCAACGGGAATGGATACCTGTTTCGGAACGAGACGGCGGGCTGCGCGGCGCGGTATCGGCGAAGGAGCGCGACGACGTTTCCTCTCGTTTCAATATCTTGCTCTTGGCCTTGCCAAAAAGATCTGAAAAGACGAAACGACGAGGATCGGGGATGGAAAGGTGGGTGCAATTCGGAGCAACGGTCGAGTCGGTTACCTTTGAGCGACTTGAAGATCTCCGGATCGTCGCGGTGGAACTCGTCGAAGTGTTTGGTCAAGGGAGCGGGCGCTGGAAAGTCGGCGAGGCAGACGGGACAAAGAAATCCTTCCAACGGTGGGTCGGTAGCAGCCATGGCGCGGGGAGAGTTTGGCTAACCTGCGAGCGAGTGGGACAGGAGGCGCGCGTGCGGACGGCGGAGAAGGAAGCGGGCATTTCGAACGGTGTCTCGGAACGGGTGGTAGTATCGAACGGGGAATAAATGTTTTACGGCGGTTGATTTGTTTTTTTATTGGGTGTAAAGTGTTTGGTTTGGTAGGTGGATGTAGGGTTGTGGGTAATGGAGAATTGGGCGTAATGGTATGGGAGTAGGGTAGATGTATTGGTGTTTATACTTGTACTTTGCAAGGTAAATGTTTTTTGGTAATGGGTGGTTGTATTTACGTAATGTTTTCTCGTTGT